CCATGGAACGAGTGTTGCATGGCGATTGAGTAAGTGCCGGCCCGGGCCATGGGCCCAGCTGCTCCGGGCACTGCCAGAGCAGTCCCCGCTCCTGCTGGGGTTGGCACAGGCTGGGAGTGGGGCCAAGCTCTGCCGCCGATTCCCAGAGGGAGCAGCTCCATCCCAGCCTTGTTAGGAATGTGGCATCCCTGGAGCGGGGGACACACTCGGGCCCTGAGGTCAGTGCTGACAAAGGGATCCATCCCCTGGGCAGTCGCAGGTGCTGGGAAAGGGACATGTCCCTGGCATGGGCGGTTGTGTCCTGCTGCCCAGGTGAGTGGCTGGCAGGGGCCAGTGAACCACAAGCTGCCTCTTGGTTTGCTGGCAGGCCCTAAAGCCTCCACGTCCTTGTGGAGACAGCACCTTTCCCCCTCATCTGTTTCATTTTGCCATGTATTTCTGCCAGAGGTGCGTCTCTACTTTGCTTTTTATCTCCTCATTCTTTCTTTTGCTCCTGTGCGAGTGGTTTTTGTTTGCTTTGTGACTCTTTTATCACAATCTTGTGATTCTCTATTTACGACCTGCTAGTACTGAAAGCAGTGAGTAGCTGCCTGCAAGATCCAAGGAAACATCCATGACATGAAAGTACATCTGAGCACTGCTGCTCTTCCTCTGGCTTTTCTTGCCTCTATGATCTATCAGTGTGAATCTGTGGTGGTCTTCTGTGTCCAAGTTCATGCTGCCCTTTCCCAGGAAGCAGGGAAGAATGGAGGCAGAAGACAAACAAAGGAAGAAATAAAGAGATTCCTATCCAGAGACAGCCTAAGGACTGCACTACCCATATGTTGCCCCTAGGTATTCCCAGGAAGTTCTTTGACTAATGCTTTTAGAAGAGTAGGATAATAACTTAGCAGGGAATTGCACCATCTGCTCAGAACTTCTTACTAGATAAAAAAGAGATTTCTCATGAATTTTGTTGCATCCCTGCTGTAACTTTAGAGATCTTGCAGCTCCTAGCTGTGCTTTCTACAGCAGGAAAGCTAAAATCTCCTGCCCTAGGAAATGAAAGGTAGAGATATTTGAGGCCAGATCTCCCTCAACATAATGCACTTCTTGCCTAGGTGCAGAAAGGATTATGTAATTGCTACTTAAGAAAAAATCCAAAGGGACTTTAAAATTTGAAGTGTGCTGCTGGGAAAACTCGGGGTGGAGAAAGCACAAGAAAGCATCTTTCTCCTGGAGTTTGCAGGCATTCTAAAAGGTACCTAACGCCATGGAAATCCAAGGTTGGAAATGATCAGCTGTTGGAAGTTGAGAGGCTGTGTGCGGCCCGGGGCAAACAGCCCCGCTCTGGCTCAGGAACATGTGCTGTTCTTGCTAAATCAAGGAAACGGGGGAATCCGTTTCCTTTCGGCAGGCAGGCATCTCACTTGAAGCACTGCAGATGTCCCTTTTTGCACTGGTTTCAGACTAGGTGCGTCTTCCAAGTAGCCCTGACCTCTGCTAGAGGAGTTGGAATGAGCAGTGGCAAAGGGACTTACGACAGTGTGGAAGACCTAGATGCTTGGGCTAGACAACTTGGCTAGTTCTCTAGGTCTTCCCCATCAATTGGTTCTGAAAGCTGATACATGAAAAGAAACACAGGGGAAAGACTTCCTGGGTTTTAGCCTCAGTGTTGGGGCTGAAACTATGAAGACCAATGGCTCTATTTGCTTGTATGGCTTTAGCACAACCCGAAGGTCATTCCACCTTAGCAGGCAGCCTGGAAGGAGTGGTTTGGTTAGCAAGAGTGCTCAGAGCACCCCTCAGTTTCAAGTAAAAGTACATTTGCAAGATTTGTAAAAGTATATTTGCAAGATATCAGTCTTGAGCAATGTCTTGCCACACAACTTTTAATTCTCCAGTCTACATCTCTCT